GAAAGGTGATGCTATTGTTTTGCTAGAAACTGAGCTACACTCTGTCTTGGGGGGGGTGGTTAAAGGCTAGCAAAATCTCTGATAGTGGTGTTCATGCGCAGCTGTAATCTTCCACTGTGGCATTCTTCTCAAAACATACAACAACATGGCTCAAGGATTCTTCACATAACACATTAATACATTCCAAGTGAAGGAGATACATGGGACACAATCCCAATGGCACAGTGTTCATTTGACTGACACCCTGGAAACTGGCAATACGCCTTCAAAATGGCAATGGCCACCTTCTCCAAGAAGGAATCACTACAGACAATGCAGAAGTAGTCTCACCAATAGCAGCATGTAAGCCATCTTTCCTTCGCTGGAGCATGTAGAAGCACCAGGCATGGCAGGCACAGAAGCACACCCTGTGTCTCTGAGGCATTCTGGGATCACACTCACTAAACGGACAGCATGTTGCCCTCTAGACATCTCATCTTGCTGCCTGCAGGAAGAGACAACAGATATATACGGTAGGTCAGTACACCCACATCACACACACAAGCACAAGCAAAATAATACATTTGTCAGCAAACCATGGATTGGGAGGGTACATACAATCATGGCAAAAATACTGGCACCCTTGCAATTCTGTTAGAAAACACAACTCTTATCTCAGAAAATTGTTGCCGCTGCAAATGTTTTGGCACTCACGTGTTCATTTATTTGGTTTGCATTGGAACAACACAAAAAAAGCAGAGAAGAAAAGTCAAATCCGATGCAATCCCACACAAAAACTCAAAAAAGGCCAAAATTATTGGCACCATGTCTAAAGTGTAAGAAATAATTGCTTTTCAAGCATGTGATGTTCCTTTAATTTGTATTTAGACACACCTGCCACAAGTAAGAGGTGTGGGCAATATAGTAATCACACTTACAACCAGTTAAGATGGAGAAAAGTTGACTCAACCTTTGTGTTGTGTGTGACACAACATTCTCTCAATTACAGAGAATTGAGAGGATCTGAGAGAAATCCTCAATTACATTTGAGTGGATTTGAGAGAAAAAAATTGTGGAAAAACATCCATAATCTCAAGGCTACAAGTCCATCTCCAGATATCTTAATGTTCCTGTGTCCACTGTGCTCAATATCATCAAGAGGTTTACAGCCCATGGCACTGTAGCTAACCTCCCTGGATGTGGACAGAAGAGCATAATTACTGAAAAATAATGGTTATTGGAATTGTTAATACAGAACCCAGATTAACTTCCCAACAAATTCAAGATGATCTGGGTACAACAGTGCCAGCTCTCACTATCTGTTGCCATTTGAATGAAAAGAGATGCTATGGTAGGAGACCCAGGAGAACACCACTGCTGACGCAAAGGCATAAAGACGCAAGATTGGAGTATGGTGTGCCAAAACCTATGTGACAAAACCACAATCCTTCTGGGAGAACGTACTGTGGACAGATGAGACAAAATTAGAGCTTTTTGGTCAAGGACATCATGGCACTGTTTACAGAAAAAGAAATGAGGCATTCAAAGAAAAGAACACAGTCCCTACAGTCAAACATGCTGGTTGTTGACCGTAATACAGTATTCATTCATACAGTCAAACATGGTGGAGGTTCAAAGATGTTTTGGGGTTGATTTGCTGCTTCTGGCACTGCATGCCTTGACTCGGTGAATGGTATCATGAAATCGGATGATTACCAAAGAATTTTGGGGTGCAACGTAGTGTCCAGAGTCAGAAAGCTAGGTCTCCACCAGAGGTGGAGGTCATGGGTCTTCCAGCAGGACAATGACCTGAAAATGACACTTCAAAAAGCACTCTGAAATGGCTACAAAATGAATCCCATAGAACACCTGTGGAGAGATCTCAAAACAGCAGTTGAGAGAAGGTATCCTTCAAATCTGAAGGCCCAGGAGCAGTTTGCAAAACAAGAGTGGTTCAAAATTCCAGTAGAGAGATATAAGAAACTCATTCATGGTTACAGGAAGCGATTGATTTCAGTTATTTTTTCTAAAGGAGGTGCTACCAAATATTAAGTGAAGGGTGCCAATAATTTTGGCCAGTGCATTTTTGGGTTTCTGTGTGTGATTGTATCGGATTTTAATTTTCTTCTCTGGTAAACACAGCTTACCTGTGTTTTTTTGTGTTGTTCCAATGCAAACCAAAGAAATTAACATGTACCAAAACATTTGCAACTGCAACAATTTTCTGAGAGAAGGGCTGCATTTTCTGACAGAATTGCAAGGATGCCAATATTTTTGGTCATGACTGTAATGTGGCTGGCTGGATAGCTCAGTGGTTTAGGTATCTGGCTGCAAAGCCAGAGGTTGGAGATTTGATTCCGCACTGTACTTTCTGTAAGTAGAGCCAGCCAGTGTGGCCTTGGGCAAGCTGTGCAGTCCCAGAGTGCCCCCAGAAGAACAGAATGGAAACCACTTCTGAGTATTCTCTATATGGAAAGCCCTGAAAAGGGACACCCTAAGTCAAAATTGACTTGACAGGACATCAGCATCTTCATTATCATTATTCAGAAACAGCAGGCACAGCCAACATTATAAAAACATTGACTGGTATTATATAACAAATAGAAGTTTTAACCAAAACAAACTGAGTATCTGTTGAATATCAGCACAGTATGTTGAGTATTCTCTATATGGAAAGCCCTGAAAAGGGACACCCTAAGTCAAAATTGACTTGACAGGACATCAGCATCTTCATTATCATTATTCAGAAACAGCAGGCACAGCCAACATTATAAAAACATTGACTGGTATTATATAACAAATAGAAGTTTTAACCAAAACAAACTGAGTATCTGTTGAATATCAGCACAGTATGTATGCTGTTCTGTTCCATGTTTTTCAGTTAAAGTGAAAATAGACTCTACGTTTGGATCCAAAAATCCTACAAGATCTTGACTTTCTCATTTTCTGACACCTCCTCTACCTGACATTCCCATGGATTTTTGGAGGCTGGTAAGTCATATTTTTTGCATAAATTATTATTATTA